ATAGTGATGCTGAAGCCTTGCAAATGACAGGAGCTACTAAGTTTTACATCTACCATTAGAAGCCCTGAACATGGAGCTGATCTGTTTCTGGACTGCAGTCTCTCCTAAAATATAAACCATTGATGGAAAACATCTGTGTGGCATTAAAGAAGTCCATCTTGAATTCTGCAGGCCATCCTGATTGCCTTGTCTCCAAAAAAGAAAGGATAAAGTAGAACTGCAAAAACAGGAAAAATATAAACAAAAGCAACAAAGGTTATCACGGGGCGAGGAATGACTTCCACAGGTGGAGAACGAGTAGATGAAGACTTTTTCATCTGGGAAAACAAATGGCAGCAGGGTAAATTTACACCGTATAGACTAAACAAAGTGCACATCCATCCATCCACACGTGCATGACAAACTTTTGTAGGCTTCATCACAGGCTGTGATAGATAATATGACCACATGGAAGAGGTCTGTAAAATCACGGATGATGGGGACTAGTGGATGCTCGGAGGCCTGTCCCACCCTGTAAATTCTCCAATCAACCATCTCAGACAAGACCTAAGGAGCAGGTTTAAATCTGACTGAAGGAAGCACTTTTTTTCACTGGCAGAACTCATTGCCACAGGAGACCTGGGACATGATCAGTTTGGAGATGGGGGCCACTGGGAACAGTGCTGAGGGCTGCAACTGCCCAGTGCAGGCTGAAAAGGCAAGGCGTGGTCACTCTACACAAGCCTAGCAAGGCAGGGACTGAGCACACCCAGAGCTCACGCTCTTTGCTGTGGTCTCACTCCCAGCCAGGAGCTGCGGACACTGTCCCCCGCAAACTCCCCCCTACGCATGCGCTCCACCTCCCCCTGTCAAGCCCCTCCCCGTTCCATTCTCACCGCGCCTGCGCGCCGCTTGCTTGCGCCAGCCTCCTCCCTCCCCGCACTGCGCCTGTGCATCTCCGCTTCCCTCGCCGGAAGCACCTCCCTATCGAGCTTCGATGGCGCTATTGCGCCTGCGCCGATCGCTGCCCTTTCCTTTCCGCCTCCCGCCTCCCGCCTCATTCTCCCGAAGATTCGCGAAGGTTCCGGAAGGCTCCGCTCGGCTGTTTCCGGCCCGGCACCTCCTCCCTCCCTCCTTCCTGCCGCCGGCGCCGGCTCTACCTCGCGCGTTGCGCCATGGCCCTGCTCTGCTACAACCGCGGCTGTGGGCAGCGCTTCGACCCCGGCACCAACACGGAGGGTGAGAGGGGGTCATGAAGCGCGGGAAGGGAAGGGAAGTGGGTCTGGTTGCCCGGGCAACCGCGCTCCTTCCCCCTCCTCCCCGCCCCGGTTCTATTCCAAGGGGGGGGGAGGCTGTCTCGCTGCCTGGGCAACCGCGTTCCGCTTACCCCCTCCCCCTCCCGGCCCTGTCCCGAGATGCTTGGGAGGGGGGTGTCTGGTTGCTCGGGCAACAGCACTCCTTTCCTTCCACGTTCTGTCCCGGGGGGGGGGGGGGG